CTCTAGAAGTGGTGCACAGCAAGGCTGCGTGCGACACTGCAAGCTACGGAGTCAAAGCAAACCTCACCCACTGCAGGGTTGGGCGGGCGGGTCTAAAAATTTTTCTGCAAGGTGATGCCACAAGATTGCAAGCTCAATGCTCTGAGAGTGAACAGCTTACAGCATGTCACATGTCTGCATGTTGTGACCCTCTGATGCACAATGGCAGCGAGGAACATTTAATGTCAACGCCAACAAGTTCAAGCTCACTTCTTTCGGGAAAAGACTCGAGGTGGCTCAATGAAAATTTTCCAAACACGGAAGCACAGAAAATTTTCAAATTGGCATCGGCTTTAAGACTTTAGCAGACAAGTCTGCCGAAATGCTTAAAGCCTCTTTCAAGTTGAGCCACGTCGAGCCAAACAGCTGCAAGCTAGGGTTAGGGCAAGGCAGGGGCACAAGCACTGAACCCTAACCTAAAGCGTCACCCAGAGTACTAAACCTTAAACCAAAAGCGCTCGCAACACTCGGACTCACCTTCGCTTTTCCTGCGGTGCCAGTGGGATTCGGTGCGACAGTCACTCTCGAGTTGAGAGGATACTGATGCAGCAAAGGGCATGCAGCCCACACGCTTTACGAACACTTTCGAGGCGACAGCACAAGTGAAGTTTTCAAGTGCCTCAACGAAGCTTTCTTCAAGGTGCACAGCGATGCAAGTTGCATTTGCACAGCAAGGCGTGCTGCTCTAGAAGTGGTGCACAGCAAGGCTACGTGCGACACTGCAAGCTACGGAGTCAAAGCAAACCTCACCCCATTTTAACCGCCTACGACCCTGAAGGCTTGAGCAACTGGAGACAACTGCTAAGAGCAGCACTTGCATCATCCGCATGACGTGTCTGTCCCAACACAGTCATCGTGCCACAGAGCTCCCTGGACGGGAGGTCCGCAACGTTGCTGGGAGACGGGACGCGTGCATACCAGCAGCGCACTTCTCCAGCGTCTTCCAGAGCCAGGAGGACGGACGCCAATGCCTTAGCAGTGGGGTTTCTACCTCTGCCAGAAATGGCAACGTCACGCGTAGAGTTGTTGTCAAGGTAAGCGACGCATGGTCGGTTGGTCAGTTTGGCCTTCCAGTGCACCAACGCAACGACAAGCGCGAGGAATTCTAGTTCAAATATGATGGTCTTCTTATGCTTCTCTCCCAGTGCCTCACGGCCAGTGGCGTCTAAACAAAAGGAAAAGAAGGCACAAAACTCACCTGAAGAACTGAAGACCGCAGCTCCCAAACCTGCACACCAGGGGCTACCAGGCTCGTAGCACGCGTCGGTAAACAAGTAAAAGGGGTCGAGGTAAGATGCATGTACCACGTGCGGACGGCTGACTTGTAGACACTCTTTGTAACGATTTAAGGCATCCCACAGGTCGCTATGAACTGATGGGTCACCATCGTCCTAAGCGTGTTTCGTGACTGCTTGAAGACAAAGCCGTGACGCCCTCCCAAACAGGAAGCTGTCACAGAACTGCATGCGGCCTCGGAGGCGCAGAGCAGCAGCGCGAGACAGGGTTTTACTTTCCAATATGCCTGAGATGATCTGGATAAGCTCTGCAATTCGCGAAGGAGTATTGGAAAGCATTACCTGCCCATGCTCGGTTGAGGTGAGGTTGAAGGACACTCCTAATGCTTTAAACACATCGGAGAACTCAGTTGCCTTTTCATCACACTCGTCGTACTCCCACCCCAACAGCTTGAACAGGGCCGTGGCGGCCGCCTCTGTGTGGCGAACATCAACCTGTCGACTTGTCGTGACGAAATCGTCAAAGAAAACGCTCCATACTAGGCTTAGGGCCATGCAACCGATCCACCATACCGAGGTAACAACCCTTAGGAACCCATAAACGGACCGGGATGCACCAAACGGTAATGCAAGTAATTGATCGATTTCAGCATTTCTGGAATCGCTATTCCAGTGGGCCACAAAAGAGTGACGAAGCGAACTAAGACTCACAGGCAATTGCCGATAAGCAGATCGAAGATCATACGCCCTGCCCTGTAGAGCAACACCAGGGACTGCACGCATGAAAGCCAGCAACATCCCCGCCACGATGTCAGGACCGTGCGGTTTTGGCGACTCGTGCACATTCACAAGCTCATTTACCCCGCCCATCGTAAGATCATCTATCAAACGAGTCTTCGGGCCTTGCTTTAAACCGAACCTACGACTAACTAAGGCGTCAGCCGGAAGGTCTTCCACCCGGATTGGGCCGCGGGCCCATCCTTTCTTCCTCTCGTCGAGGGTCTTGGAGTGCACAACTTCATCTTCCTCTCCTTGAGGCTTGCACTTAGCAAGTACCTGCGATCTCAGCTCAGGGGCCCAACTTTCGATGTCGGCGTAGCTACGCTTCGCGGGTTTAAAGGTGGGAGGGAAGATGGATGTGACTGGAGTGTTACCTGTGAGGGAAAACCCTTGAACTACTTCGTCAAAAACCGAAACATCCGGATACTCCAAGTCAACCATTATCTCCCGCCATAGCAAGAGCTTTTTAGGGGCTAGGATTGAGGCGATGTGACTCGGCATAGTTGCCTTGAGACTCGCTTCAGCGGGCTCTAGCTCCTTAGCCCTGGCCACCCACTTTCGAAAGAAGAGGGCACGGTCCTTTGCAAGATCGGCTGAGCTGCACTTGGCATTTGCATCAATGGCGTGCTGGATGGCTTGAGGCAAGGCAAACTCATTTTTGCACTGATGCCCAGCTGCCATGGCAGCTTTGACAAACTCCTCAGGGAGCCTCGGAATTCCCCAAGCCATCTCCACAGCAGAACCCCCATCATTAACCGTTATTCTCTGTAGTGGAACACGACATGTACAATCGTTATGATTGTGAAAATTTCCCACAGATATTTCAAAAAATATCTTCAATATGCACAAATTA